ACACCTCGCTGTCGCCAATCTGTTCCACAGCAGCTCAGTGAATCTGCACATCTAGCTCCCCCACAGCTGACAGGATGGCTACCCATCCCAGCATGAGCCCGACGTCCTCCACCGTGCAAGCACGGATTCGAACCAGCGACCCCGGCCTCAAGAGCCAGGTATCTTAACCACTACAGCCAGGACACAGTGTTCAAAAGTGGAATCATACCGGTCGTGATATCCACCCCATCCCTGCAAGGCTGTAGTGTCCAACTCAACACACACCACACACAACACCACACGGACACGGCAATTCTCGCACATCTCGCTCTCACCAATCAGCACAAAGGACATGCCATGTCAGGGTGTCGTACATCACGACGATGTTGACTGTCATCATGCATATGAAAACAAAAACTTGGATGGGCTATAGCCTAATATTCCTCATGATACAAAGAATACCGATGGGATCTTAGCCAAACATCAGGTGGGTCATCACAAGTGCAACATTGAGAAAAATTTTGTGGGATTCTGCAGCCGACCTTGCCTGCCTGTGGACAGGCAATGAAGCATGACCTGATCCAAAATAAGGGTGTTTACACTGTTTAGCTGTTAAGTCTGGCAACGACTCGCCTGGCGGCGATGACCTTTCAGCATGTGCACTGCAGGCGATTCATGTGAGAGTCTGTTCTCTACCTCAGGCTGCTGTGTCTGTTTCTCGTCTGCCAAGGATGGACGTGGCCAGCAATGGGTGCAGCCAAAGGAAGGCCTTACCATTAAAGTGGGACATGAACGAAGAGGATGTGGCAGGTGGATGACATCAGGGAAGTTCACGCAGTAGGAACACGTAGTCTCTGCAACAGCTTCCAGGAAACTTCTGTGACACATCGCATGTTGCTGACATGCCAGCAGGAAAGCCAGCTCACGCTCGCAATTACACAACCATGGCACCTCAAGGCCACATAATCTTTTTTGCTGGAAACATATTGGGCAACTAATGATGGGGTCGGGGGAATGAATGCTGGATAAAGACGGGTCACGGTTCTCAAGGCAGAGGCTGGCAGTGACTATCCCTTCATTGTGATCGGAGCACAGAGCTTATGCTGTGCACGTGCTAACTAGACTGCACCTGTACCTAAAAAAAAAAAAAAAAAAAAAAAAAAAGGGTCCCATCTATTATGGGGTGCATCAGTCCGGTTGCTTATCACCGGCAAAAGCATAGATCCAGAAACACACCATAGAGACCGACAAGAGAGGTTGGGCCCCCTACCCCTGCCGCCCTAGCCGCTGCACAGGGGGGAGCTGGGGGGCGGCCGTGTGGCGCATTTCTGACTTTCTCCTACCGAGGCTCGCAAAGTGGTCGGGAAACCACCTCTCGGTACTCTGCCGCACATGTTAGTCCAATTTCTCTGTTTGTTCAGAGGAGTTTGTTTGGGTATTGGGACGCTGGACCTGGTTTCCAGCTTTGAGCCGACCCTCTGGGTAATTGCCCCAGCACTCCGGGTTGAGACGTGGAGCGATTCCCCGCCTCCTTGATTTGTTTTGAAATACAAAGCAGACTTCAGGGGAAAAAAAGAAAAAAAAAGAAAAGGACTGTGACTGTACGCACACAAAATGCCATGGCGCAGCAACTGTCCTCCGTACGCGCGCCCTCATTATCAGTATCCAAATTTGTTTGCCTACCAGGATAGTTAAACTATCAATGGAGTTTTCTTTTTTTTTCTTTTTCTTTTTCCTTCTTTTAACTATCAATGGAGAGAGTCAACCTATAAGTTCACATAACCACAGTTACCAGATAACCAGTGTGATGAGCAGGATATCCTGTTAAGTGCAGATAACCAGAGTCAGCAGATAACCACTATCAATGGATACAGTCAACCTGTAAAAATAACTTGAGTTATCAGCTAGTAATCAACCTGTAAGTCCAGATAACTTGAGTTACCAGATAGTCCACGTGACCGGAGTAACCAGTGTGATGAGCAGGATAGTGACTCTGCGCTGCTCTGTTCGGGGTCCTGGGACCCGTGTAGTGTCCCATGTGCGGCTCGGTTCTCGGTCACAGCAGGTTGTTCGAATATGCCCTAGTGCCATAGTGAAGGGAGTACCCTCCAGCTGGTAGGCTTGAGATTTGGGAGGCATGATCTGACAAATAGGGGTATGTGCTGACTTCGGAGGGGTATATGCTGAGTCGGGAGGAACTCGTTCGTTAGACTGCCTCCGTGCGTACCCTTATATACCCACCCCTATTTGTTTGTTTATGTTTTTGTTTTCGTTTTTCTTGAAAGTTGAAACCATTGGACCATTTTTCCATACATGTGTGTCATCCTTGCACAGAAGCCATTCTAATCTTCAGTCTCTATATTGTTCCAATTTTAACGGATGTCCCAAAGGACACCCACATCTATGTGTAACAACTAGATTTCATAGGGGTATGCTTTGATGAACTTCGATGAGCTTTGATGAACTTTGATGAGCTTTGATGAAGATTGATCTACAATGAACGTGAATAAAGTGAAGACGCAAGGACGGCCTAACTCTGTCCTCGTAGACATGCAGTCAACGGTGGTGGTATTTCAAGATTGGTAGGCACACTGATGACCACCTCCCATCACAATGATCCTTCAAGGTTGTCTTTTTTTTTCTCTTTTTTCTTTTTCTTTTTTTCTTTTTTTGTCAATGATTTTGAGATATCTGTTCTGCCTACCTTGCACAGGGGCGCCCCAAGCACATCGTGAACGAGTCCAGAGAGACCCCTTCCAAAATTATGTGATTCCGGACCCCGCTGCAAGCCGGCTTCCTCCTGACTCCTGTCCGTCCTTAAGCACCGTTGGCGACCATCTCTCCTGTAAAACTTCCCAATGTCAATGAATGGCTCCACCTGAAAAAGGCACATGATGATAGGCAAGAAATTGCCAAAGATTCAAAGAGCGTATTTTACTATTTTAGTATTTTCTCAATTTTTCTGTGAATTTCCGAGTGTTTTGCTTCCATGGAGTTGAATCACTTAAGCAAGATGCCTTGACCATTTGGCTGAATGACACACACATGCAACTTTTTTTTCTTTTTTTAAGTTTTTTTTCCTTTTTTCCCCCCCCCACATGCGTACCTGTTGGTAAACAGATCATGAATTTTTCAAATCCCGATGGAATTAAAATTATTAGATCAAATGAATATACACAACGCCATCATAATGGTGGGAGATTTAATCATTTAACCCCTTTACGGGGGAAAAAAAAAAAAAAACTTTAAGCAAAGATGCAGTGAATGAATGTCGAAAGCCATTATGATGAGTCTAAAAGACTCTAAAATTTGCCAAAAGCTCAATTCGTAATGAGTACTAATGACCCACAAAATCGCACACTAAGAAAACTGCTGCTTTCTGAGTTTTGTCGCTCAACTGTGTGACTTGCTGAGATTCCCGCTTTTTGCTGAGCTTTCTAAGTCTGTGTGTGTGCGTGCTTGCTGGTTCCCATACCTGTCTGAGTGCATATGATTGCTTGTGTGTGTGTGTGACCCGCCAGGGTATTTGTATGTTTGGAAGGCCCTCGGGCCCGGTACTTAACTGTGGCCGTGACTTTGTGGATTGCAGCGGCCTGCATAGCTGGAAAAATACTCAAGTAGCGGGCGCCGGACAGGTTAGGTCGCGTAGGGAGAAAATATTTGAGTAGTCGGTAGGTAGGCAGAAAGGACACAAAGTTAGTACCTTTAGAGGCCGAGTGAATTTTAGAAGTCCAGATGGCCTAGGTCTAGGGTTACCAGTCCAGTAGTCTGCGTCTAGGGCCTGTAGCAGACGATATCAGACCTGCAATGATGTTTCCCTCCGAAAGGAGGAAGGTACCAGATGCTTGGGAGGCCGAGCGGCCTGGAGAGACACCGCCCAAGAGGCGAACCACCCAGTATATCTTTCGGAGGAGCAAAGTGCTCCTCCTCATTTGCGGTGTGCAGGCTTGGGCGTCACGCTGCTGGAGCGGAAAGCTGGGTGTTCGTAGCGCTGGGAGGAAGAGGAGCACCTGGCCCTCCACCTTTGGCTACGGTGGAGCGGACCAGGTAGGAGGAGGAGGAAGAAGGGACTTGGAGGAGAGTGGCGCAGGTACTTACCTGGCTATGGTTGATGGCATCTTCATCTCCTTGGTTGGCACTGCACCAGGAAGGCCCCAGTGGGGGTGCGCTGCTGCAAAAAGAAGGCTTCAGGGCAAAGTTAGGCATGGCGGTCTGAGTAGTAGGGGACATATCTGCTTTTGCGTTCTCCTTTGAACATCGGGGCAGGGCCCCATTAGGTCGCCGTAGCCACCACCATTCGGAGGTGGTAGTAGATGTAGGTCGTGGCTACGGTGGACCTCATGTACTCTGGCAGTAATGAGGAGATTTGGACATTGGTTCCGGTTCAGTCATTCATTGCTATTATTATTATTATTTGTTGAAAGATGAGGATGGGGGAGATAAGGAGGATGAAGTGAGTTGGCGAGTGAAGGGGGATTTGTCATTGGTCTTTTGCTGGTGTACATCTTCTTCTTCTTATTATTTCTTTCTTCTTTTTTTCCCTCTTCTTCCTTTATCTATTTCTCTTTTCAAGTTCTTTCATTTCATTTGCAATTGAACGGCATTGCCTTTCCTTGTGTTATTTGCACTTCGGAATAGCCAGGATCATAACAATTGGTATCGGAGCGGATCTTACTTTCTGGCGAGAGGAGACTTGGCACCCTAAAGCTTAGGGTTTAGGGTTTAGGGAAACTGGGGCAACGAGGTAAGTGGGAGCTGTCCCCACCTGGTCAGGGTCAAGTTGGGTCGACATATGACCCGGCCAGGTTGCTCGAGTGTATGGACGAGGTGGCGAGACACTTGGGGTGACTTTGTGAGGTGATTTGGGAGAGGATAGAGAGTGAGAGGCACTTAGCACCTGGAATCCAAGCTTCAAGAAGACATCGAGTGACTTGTGGGATCCCTACCAAGAGGTGACCTTGGCTGGGAGTAGCCGTGGCTGCATTGAAGGACTGCAAGTTGCCGGTTTATCTTCAACATTGACGGTGGATCCGGCGTTGTACATTGGTATAGGTAGGCCCTCCTAGGTCGCTAGGACAGTAGTGTAGAGGTGGCTATTTTTTGGGTCAGGACTCGGGAGGACATACGAGAGAGGGGGGTGAGTTGGTACTTCATCTTAGAGGCCGGGCCTCACAGGTAAGTGCCGTGTGACTTGGGTGTGCCCAGGGTGGCGTGTATGGCCTGATGGGGTATGACTGGGTTCTTTTCCTACTCACCATGATCTTGTCTGTTGTGTTTGAGTTTGTGGATTGCTCGCTCATCGGATGGATGGATGGATGTGGTATCTTGATTAGGACTGCATATGAATTCGGCGAGATGGCGTGCCATGCTGGATGCGGCCAGCAACGAAAAAGAGAAAGAGCACTTACAAGCCATCTATGAAGATGCAGTAAAAAGGGATCAAGAGGAGCCAGAAAAGGACAAGACGGCAGCAATTACTGCCCAGTTGGCCATCCTTAAGGCTGTCCCCACTGATGACCAGTTCAAGGAGAAAACAGTCACTGTCCTCAGTGCCATAGGCAGACTGCGCGATCTTGAAGACCACGCTGGCCAGATTTCTCAGCTCGTTGAGGAAATCTGAAAGCCAAAGGAACAGCTGGTCAAGATGGTTGGGGATTACCATGACAGGCCCCCAAGTGCCTGCCCATCCTCCTCTACCTCCCTATTTTTTATTATTATTTTCAAATTTTAACATCAAACAGGTCGTTATGACCGTGGCTCCATTTCCATTCTGGGGAGCGTCAGTCCCGTTCCTATTCCACCGACAAATCGGAATAAAGTATTACATCATGAAACACACTCAAACTTCCTTCCGTCTGACCGAAGGAACCCTGACCAGCAGTGATTACTCCAACATTGTGGAGGATTGACCGTCAGCTTGCCTTACGTCCACCTTTCCTCTCAGGTCCACTGCATGAACCTGCCAGATCGATCATAAAGAGCAAGAAAGGTATAGAAGCCCAGATCGATCATAAAGAGCAAGAAAGGCATAGAAGCAACGGAAGTTGCAGTCTGGGAATGGCCATTTAGGATAGCGTGGCCTGTGATGGAGCATGTCCATTTGCTGGCTGAGATCTCTGCCTTCTCCACCCCACTTCTGAGTCGTGCCAGTCTTTCCACCGTATGTGACAGTCATTTACTCCCGCAGCAATTGCAATTCAGGCTTCTTCTTCTTCTTCAGTAGTCCACCAATTCGGAATGCCCCAGGACGCAGAAACGATTTCAGACTGTTTCCTTTTTTTTAGCACACGACCCCGAAAGCAACCACATTCAGTCCCGAATAATTACGATCATGTGAACCCTCCACAATCCTCATGATGACGCAAAATGCCAGATGTGTAAGAGCACACACTCTGACCATGATGTGAAAATGTTTTCAGATTGTTTTCCTTTTTTTTTGCATTTAACACCGAACGCAACCACATTCAGAACCCCAATAATTACATTTGTGTGAACCCTCCATGATCGCCTGACATTCGCACGACCTCTGACACTTTCTGACACCGCAGAAGCTCTCTACGTTCACTGACAGCTTTCTCGACCAGGCAGGCTATCGACTTGTCCCCCAACCGCATGACCAAGCGTCAAGCAAAGAAAGCGTTTCGAGGACAAATCACGACTGTCCGATCATCGTCAGACCCACGATCGGATGGCCCTGATTGACCACGGTGGGGTGTGCTAGAGCCCACGGCCAATAAACTTCAATAAGATAGAGAATAACAATCAATGACTGATGTCCAAGTCCCTCCTTACTGCCAGCAACCAATGAGGTCCACCATAGCCACGACCTACACCTTCTACCAGCTCCGGATGGTGGTGGCTATGGAAAACTAGTGGGGCCTTGCCCCGATGTCCAAAGGACAACCCAAAAGCAAATATCTTATTAAAGTTTATTGGCTGCGGGCTTTGACACACCCGACCGTGGGCAATCAGGGCCATCCGATCATGGGTCTGACTATGATCGGACAGTTGTGATTCGTCCTTGAAACACTTTCTTTGCTTGACGCTTGGTCGCACGCTTGGGGGACAAGTCGATAGTCCGCCTGGTCGAGAAATCTGTCAGCGACTGCCATACCTAACTCTTCCCTGAAGCATTCTTGAAGCAGCGCAACCCCACTGGGGCCTTCCAAGTGCAGCGTCAACCAAGGAGATGAAGATGCCGTCCACCATAGCCAGGTAAGTACCTCCTCCACTTTCCTCCAAGTTCCTTCTTCCTCCTCCTCCTACCTGGTCCGCTCCGAAGGTGGAGGGCCAGGTGCTCCTCTCTCCCAGCGCTGCCAACACCAGCGCCCTTCCTCCGAACACTTCAGCAGCGTGACGCCCAAACTTGCACACCGCAAATGAGCAGGACCACTTCGTTCCTCCTGGGTATATGTCGGGCGGCTTGCCTCTTGGGCGGTAACTTTCCATGCTGCTCGGCCTCCCAAGCAACCGGTACCTTCCTCCATTCGGAGGGAAACATCATTGCAGGTCTGATATCGTCCGCTACAGGCCGTAGACTCAGACTACTGGAGTGCACCCTAAGCTACTCGAGTGCACCCTAAGCTACATGGGCCTACCCTACCACTACTTGAGTGCTAGCCTACCGCTACTTCAGTTTTTTCCCCGCTGCAACCCTCAAAGTCACGGCCTCAAAGCAAGGCAAACATTGCAGCAGCAAACTCAGAAATCAGCAGAGTTCTCAGTCTGTGATTTTGCAGGTCCCTAAAATTCCACGTATGCCCCCCTCCTTGGTCATCCAACATGTGTGATGACGTCGGTGTGAGTCGAGTTCGAGACTGATGAGTCTAATCATGTCTTCGAGTCTTGCGCTATGCTTTTCTGGATGCGAATTGCTTGTCCTGAGTCCTACACTTCACATTCGTCCTCTTTTTCAAATCTGCACACAGCCCATCTTCAGATGGGCATGAATCAGTAAGAGTCCGAAAAACCTAAGCCGGCAATCTCACTCACAGTTAAAAGCCTCCGAGCCCGTCTCTGAACACTCCACAATTCGGGTCTGATGCCACAAAGACCGTCTTGTAACACGAGGAGCACCACTGCCTAAATCACTACTACCTTTCAGAGGCGAAGGCTAAGTCCTAAATATAAAATATACCACATTCTACGGAGGCCAGGCCCCACCTGACCAAAATGGCTGGCGGTGCCAGCCAAAACAAAAGAAAATAGGTCGCAGTGGCACTTCGCCAAGCTTGGCGTGCAGTTCGACTCCGCCTCGGCAAAAAAAAAGCTCGGAGGCCTGTTCCAACTCAAACCACGCGCTTCAAAACAGCAGCCCGGGGACTTACACCCGAAACAAACACTCTCTGAGCCTCATCGTGAAGATCTTGCAGCTAAGCAAAAACTCAGATTCACCCACAGAGAAAGACTGCCGAAGAATCCACCCAGGCCAAGTATAACTGCTGAAAATCTTTAACAGGACCGATTGCCAACAAAGGCAAACCATGACAGTCATTCCCACGAACCACGTAGGAATTGCCCACAAGCACGAGATCAATTCTATGTGGGGTTAGCATGTTGGGTGGGCCTGGAGAATGGCCAACAAGCTTTCTGGTCCGTATCCTTGGAGTTTTAGAGGGTTGTGAAGCTGGGCCAGTGGGGTGAAAGAACAGAACAAAGAAAAAGAAAAGTTAGAAAACAACTGGAGATGAGTTGGATGCTACCTCTGTGTTGTTTTCATCAACAGAGCTTGTGAAACAGGATATTGAAGAACTTGACAAAAAAAAGGAGTAGGAGGAGGAGGAAGAGGAAAAAGAAAAACACCCTGGTATTTATTCTATGTGACTGATTGAAAACGCGATCCAGCAGAGCATCAGCATGTCCCCATGGGCCCATACACAGGCCACAATGACAAAGCAGCCTTGGAGAGGGTCTCACACCACAGCAGACAGAGATATGCACAGTGGAAGTTCAGTAACCAAGAAGAATTGAATAGTATCAATTCAAAGTCCCTCGGCACTCTCCAGCACAATCAGATTCACAAAGAAACCGAGGATCACAACCGGGAGTAAACCACCTTGAACAAACTCAGGACACAGATTCGTCAAGTCTCCGGAGTCTTCCTCCTCCCTCTAACTCAACCTCCATAGCCCGCTATGGTGCACAGCCCATTTTCACCGCGCCCAGCCTCACTACTCTGCACACCACCAGCGCCTCCTCTCTCCTGTCTCAGAAGCACCGACACCGTTCAGAACTCCCTCTGATGCTCCAACACTGTGCCGGAGTCCTCCCAGAAAAACTAGAGCAAGGACCAAGATGAAGAAGGAACCACCAGCTTGAAGAAGAAGAAGAACAGCTGCCATGAAGAAGAAGATATGGCAGCACCTAACCCCACAGCACAGATATGCTGTCCCACCATGCTCAGGAGATGAAGCACCTGCTTCAATGCTGCCTGAAACCCCAGCAGCGGCTGCCCAACTACAGCGCTGCTACAGCAGCCTGGCGGCGTGGCAAGAGCACTAAGCAACTGCTCAGCCAAAGACCTCTAACCCTTTGGACCCATTCTATTTATAGTTCTACTCTAGCCCACTGGACTGGAGTCACTGGACTGCCTAGAACCTAAAACCAACAAACAGTTATGGGTCTGTCTTTTTCAGTAACAATGGTACCAGTCTGAGGCAAAAGTACCACAACCGTCCGTTGAGGCCCGCAAGAGGTTCAGGCCCAGGAGACCCCCTTTTTGCTGTAGTTTAGGCAATTTGCAGAAAAATCCCTGTCGGTTCAGGCCTGTTTCAGTTACCGCTTAGGGCCCAGAACCCTGAATTTTTTTAAAGGTTGTCCTAGTTAGTGCTACAGCCCGCTGAGAAACTGCAAGAACATGGCAATTATATAAGATAATAATAATATCATTCTTGCGGCGCATTGAGGTGCGCGCCTCAGCGCACGTGTTGTGCACCTCGCGCACCGCACTTTGCAGTGCAGCCGATGCGGCGCACAGCAATAAATAAATAGAGTCGCCGAAAAATAGGAAAAAAAAACAAGAACGGGGTTCTGGAGTTCTGTGGCCTCCCCACCTGGCAAAAATGAGAAAATGGCCTGCATTGCACAGTCATATTTTTTGTCTTTTATGCATGTGGAGAGCAGTGGAGCGAGGCCCAATGGCTTGTTTCAGAGTTCTAAAGAAAGAAAGAGAGAGAGAAAAAAAGTACTTCCCGTGAATATGGACAAACTGACACCAACTGACACAAAGCACGACACCATCATGACTGTATTGGACTGTCACTTCACGACAACGGTCACTTCATGAGTCGTGGGTGTTGCCGACCCACATCATGACTTTATCTGTCCCTAACCGTCACCTGTGTACATTTCACTCAAATGTGCATAGATGACGATTTGGGTCCGATATAGTCAGGAAGTGAGTGCCTTCATCGCCCACAATCCGTGAAGTGGCCTCTCTCTCTCTCTCTCTCTCTCTCTCTCTCTCTCTCTCTCTCTCTCTCTCTCTCTCTCTCTCTC